TAGGTACCAATGATATATAGGTTTAAATAAAGTATAAACTATATACCTAATTAGTTAAATATTGATAACCTATAAGACAATATATTTACAAATTAAATTAAACCTTATTCACTGACTTTACTACTTAGAATAACTAATCAAACAATACATTTTAATATAAACCTTAATTAATAAAAATAATTTGTATTTTTTAGATTCACAAGCTGGAAAAGGACGTGATTTAGACATGTCAGATGATGAGTCATATAATGATAATGCGAGTGTAATCAGTAATGTATCTTGTAGCACATCAAATGAAGAACGTTCCTGTAAGTATTCTATTAACTATTCAATAACATTATTACTTACTTATTTTTTCGTTTTAATAATTTATAGGTGTTGCAATTGATGAAGCTGATGAGACTCAGAATGATGCATTTGAAGAGAAATTAAGTGACGCTATTGATAGTTTATCACAGAAGTCTGCGCAAGGACGTACATTAAGTTTTGAAGCTGTTTGTAACATATTTTGCAAGAAATATATACCCGATTATATTTTAAATAGGTATGTCTTACGTGCTAAATGTAATTATTTATTTTGTTGAAAAATAAATWCAGTATTGAACTAAACTTTTTTTCCAGGCGTATGACAATTACTGATTCCATTGAACGCGCCCTTAAAAAAGGTGGTGATAATGAGAAAGCTGCAGCAGCCAATTTAGCTAGTTTATTGTGTATACAATTAGGTGCATTGGACTTTGTAGAAAATCCATGTCAAGAACTGTTACCTACTCTAATGTTTGTTCTTAATGATGAATCTGTTCCTTTATTGGCCCGAGAAAAAGTAATTGATTATTTTTGCTCATACCTAAATTATATTACTAATTCCATCTGTTATTAAATCACTTTTAATTTTTCAGTGTTGTTTGGCCATAACATTACTAACTTTTATTAGTTGTAATGAAGAAATTGATGCAGCTATGCAATTAATGCGCAATTTATGGAGACGTTTATTACATTCAACAGCTATTTCTCCGTCGGTAGCAGCTCTTTATTCAGCAGCATTATCTTCTTGGTCTCTCCTACTGTCTACTGTATCAATTAGAAATTCTTCTGCTATAATTCCGTAAGTTACTAGGTATTTACTAATGTTAATTAAAAAAAATTAAAACTAACATTAATTGATATATTTCCTTCAATTGTAGTACCTTAGCAGAATTGAGTACACTCTTAGACTCAACACATCTAGAAGTGAGAATGGCTACTGGTGAATTAATAACAGTTTTATTAGAAATGGCACGTGAATGTGAAGACATGGATGAATATGAGCCAGATGAARAATTTATTAATAAATTACGTGAACTAGCAACAGATTCACAAAAATATAGAGCAAAAAAAGATAGAAAAACACAAAGATCAAACTTTAGACAAATTCTTCATTATGTAGAAGTAAGTTATACTGTATACCTTAATTATACCAATTATTAAAATTTGAATTTAACATCTTTGTTTTTTTACAGCTGGATGAACCTCCAAATATTCAAATTCGTTTTGGTCAAGAAGTATTAACAATGAACTCATGGATCATTAAAAAGCAATATGATGTTTTATGTCAAGCATTGGGATCTGGAATGAACATGCATATGATGGAAAATGATCTAATTCGTGACATATTAAGCCTTGGTCCTAAATTATGTCAGGCGACACTTATGAATAACAAACAATCAAAACTCGAAAGAGTGAGTTGAAAAATTACAAATCTTTAAAAAAATGTATTCATTTTATACTTATTATGTTTTACTTTTTTACAGCAACAAATTAATGCAGCCAACTTCAAGGTRCGCACAAAAACTAGAGGAAAAGTGCGCGACAAAAGAATAGCTTTTATTGATTAAAGAATCATAAACTATTTTAGTTTATTATTGTAATGCAAAACCAATTGAGCATGTGATAAATACTGTTGTTAATATTCTATTTTTTAATTAATCAATTCAGTTTTTCTGTGTGTATTGACAGATATATGTTTATAATAACAATTGGGGTTTTTTATTGTCTTAGTTAATTACCAAATATTTGGTGTATCTATATTAAATAACTTAGCGGGACTTTTGAGTTAACTAAAACATAATATATTAAAGGTTGCATACTTCTTATCTCTTTTGTCAAATAATGCTGTTTTAATAACAAACGCGGTGCCTGTTGTACTACTAAATACAATTCGTAACTTATTACTGCCATTATATTATAATTGAGACTGACAAATGTATAAGTAATTGCACCAGAAAAAAATGTCATCTGCATCAAGAATGATTTTTTTTTCATTATTTACAAGATTTATTTTTATTTCCAGTTATCAATTGAAATATATATCATGTCACAGTGTTACTGTGAGAAAATAATTTAAATATCAGTAGTTACAGGCATCTAAATAATTATTATTTAGTTTAGTTAACTTTATTCATCTATTAATTTTAAGTGTATAAACAGTATGAAGTAGCATGTGTTTCTATTATTATTTTAGGATTGAAATATTTTTCGTTAAATAAATCTTTAAATAAACAATTATGTATTTTTATTTTAAATGCCTAACCTTTGCTCCAATTAGGTCACATCTCATCGTGCAATGCTTAAAAAGTAATATATTGTTAATTATTGTAATTATATGTAAGTTGAAAATTATATAACATAGGTAGTTATCATAGTTATTATTGTTTAACAATAAACACATTTAGTTTTGGATTATGATTATTATTTTATCATAATTAATATTCTATATAAAACGACATTAATCTAATCATTAATTTCCCACTTGAAATCAAAACACAAATGTGGAATTTCCGAACAGAGTGTTTGTTGACACAAGGCCTTATCAAAAATTCCTGTTAATACATAATACATGCAGATTGTCTGCTCTGCTGAGATTTAGTCAGAAAATAAAATAATACTATTTATGCATATATTCCTAACCCGAAGAGTACTTCAGTAAACCTCATATTCTGTTCTACCCAATTTCAAAAGTCGACCCTAAACATGAATGTATGCTCGTTGAAAACACAAAATCGTGAATTCAAAATCAATATTTGGTCTAACACCAACTTCAGTAACGCGTGAGTACTGATGAACATTATAAATATATAACTGTACATTATTTTATAATTTAACGCAATCTATGTATTTGGGGTAATAATTTTCTAACGACCCAAAAATCGTGTTCTATGGTAGTTATTATTGCTCCGTTATAAAAGAACCGTCCGACTAAACGAATATTATGATATGATCTACTAACCTTATAAAAGCGATTTTTGAACTACTGCCAATAACTATTTTTACTCTATCGTGTCTATTCTAAACCTTTAACAAAAAATACATGCAAAAAATTTGTTTTTGACATGCTCCGCAAAATCACAACGATGACGCACGGTATCGGTCATATTCTGCACTGGAACGACAGGAATCTCCTCGAGTTTCCCGAAGACTTGAAACAGAACAGGGACGTGGTGTATCAGCTCTACATTAAAAACAACTACATCGAAATACTAGTAAGTCGTTGACTTATATACACA